AACATCCCCCCGAAGAGTCAATCAAGATTTACCTTCAGGATTACGATTTTAAAGTGAGATTATACTTTCCTGTTCTTCTGTCAGTTGCAAATCCCCAAACCTACTAGAATTCACTTAAAACTAATCTACAGTGTTTTCATTGGAAGAAAGCAATCAAGAAAGCTCTGACCCGCTGAGCAGCTGGGAATTTCTTTGCTGAAGGTTTGGTTTAGTCTTTATTTTTCTAGCTGCTGGCCCTGCTAACATGATTCAGTGAAGGTCGTATTTAATCTCGCAGAGAAAAGCTACCTAAGCAGTTCTTAGGTAAGGCTTCAGGAAAAATAAATTGCCTGGGCTCTGTGGCTATGTCTGTTGCTTCTCCCCAACAATTACAGTCAGAGAGAATAAATGAAGGCAACTGTTAAGATACCAGGGCTTGACTTCAAAAGAACTTCCCTGCCTATGAGTTATGGGCTGAAAGTTTGTTAATAACAAAGTTATTATTAATAACTAACCCACCAAGAAAGTAGCAGCTCCCAAATGTATACCTCTGGTTTATCAGCAACAAGAGCTTATTTACATGTACCGGAAGGTATTATTATCAGCATTGGAACATAAATGTCAAAGAAATCGAGTGATAAGATTTCTGTAAAGGCCTCAGTCCAAAGGAGAAAATCAGACCATTTTTTTTCACCTTCTGGATACTGAACTCCTTAATACAAAGTGATAACTCCTAACGCAAAGTGACAAATCCCAGGGTTTCTGTGCTCCATATATATACCACCAGGTTTCTAACACAAGAGAGATCTGGCCCATCCATCTTGAGCTGGAATCCAGCCTTCGGAGCTAACCTTCGCTTTCAGGCTGAAAATCAAATCAACAAATATTTACCTAGTGCTCACTGCATATCAAGCATGGGTGGGGAATGCAAGGAAATACTACACGATCCCAGGCCTCAGATAACCTGGCCGGGGAGGTGTTGCAAATGGGAAAATCCAGGGAATCGACGTTTTTCACAGCACTTCAAAAGGGTGGAAAATATTCAAGGTGTTTGGGACTATGGCCAAAAGAATGGCACACATGGTGTGTTGCTTCTGAAGAGATTCAGAGCATCTTATTTTAAGCTGATGAGAGGAGGTAAGGTTGGCAGGGGACACACAGGGAGATGCAGTTATAACCAAATAAGTACTCTAACTCTGCTTTTTTTGTTGTTTTTTCCTGGTCCTTTTAGGTTGAGTCGCTGTATTACAATGTTTCCCCATATTTTTCTTCACAACTTGCTTCATTTCCTAGTCCTACACCGTCCAATATGGTAGCCACCAGCCACGTGGCTGCTGCCCGCTGCACGCTTGAAACGTGACCAGACTGAATTAAGATGTGCTGACGGTATAAGATACAGTGGATTTTGCAGATTCAGCATGAAAAAAGTAAGTAAATGATCTCATTAATAGTTTTATGTTAATTACATGTTGAAAGGATAATATTCTGGACACACTGGACAGCATTAAAATTAACTTCACCTACTTCTTTGGGGGCTTCCCAGGTGGATCAGTGATAAAAAAAAAAACCTGCCTGCCAATGCAGAAGACGCAGGAGACACAGGTTCAATCCTTAGATTTGGAAGATCCCCTGGAGGAAGAAATGACAACCCACTCCAGTATTCTTGCTAGGAAAATTCCACGGCCAGAGGAGCCTGGTGGGCTGTAGTCCATGGGGTCACAAAGAGTCGGATATGACCGAGTGTCTGAGCGTGAACTTCTTTTTACTTTTCTAACGTGGCTACTAAAACATTAAAAATTATACATGTGGCTCACATTCTATTTGTATTGGGTAGTGTTGTCCTAATCAATATTCTTTTTTCTCAGCTGTGCTTTGGCATTCTGCCTCTAAACTCCTAATGGTTACACCCAAGCCCAGTTTCATAACACATCCAAAAAAACCTCTCCCGTGTCTATAAAGGAATCAAAACTATTCTAAAAATTTTTTCCAGACACAAATTCCGGATTTGGAGGCTTCTTCAGTTATGGAACGTCAGAAATCACACTCCAATTGAGACACACAGAGTCTCAATCCCATGGAGATTCTCCCCATGGAGAATCCCACGGGGATTTGTAAAGTTTGCCATGTGGGGAAAATAAAACCTCACGGATTTCAGGGCTCCTGTGAAACAGCCAAGCCACCTGACACAGGAACCAACAAGGTACAAAGACTGTGCCCATAAGGCAGGGAGAGTTGCATTCACTTCCCCTAGAAACCTTTTCTTCTTCCCCTACCACAAGAATTAGATCTGTAGCCATTTGTCTAAACTACTGCTCTGCTCAAGGATAACCAAACTTCTCTAATCTTCTCAAGAGGGCCAAATGGTTACAGCCTTGACTAGGTTCCTGGGTTAAACTTGCAGGGTCTCAGGAGGCCCTACCTCTCTAAGCATGTACATTTCAAAAGGGACAAAGCCATGACCTCAGGGACACCTGTCGTTGGTAAGAGCCTTACGTTCCAAAAGGTGAGGATGTTGACTCAGAAGAGGAAAGGAGCAGAGGGTTCGATTCCTGGGTCAGGAAGTTTCCGTGGAATAGGAAACGGCAACTCCCTCCAGTTATTCTTGCCTGGGAAATCCCACGGACAGAGAAGCCTGGCGAGCTACAATCCATGGAGTCGCAAAGAGTCAGACATGAGTGAATGATGGAGCACACACACTCTCTCTCTCTCTATCCACCACCACCCCCCCAACCCCAGACCATTGGCAGCGGATGGGGATGGTCGTTCTGACGTCGTCTATGGAAGGTAATCCACACCCAGGTTCCATCAGTTTTCAATGGTATCGCTTCAAGGTCGAGGTATGGGGGGCCAACTCCGTAGCATCTCTCTGGCTGCTGACCCGGTTGTAAAGATCAAGAAAGAACTGTCGCCTCCTATCCCCGTGTCAGGTGCTTCTGTCACATACACAGAGGACATATCTGTGAAGTGGGTAACATCTCAGACCCTCCACTGTTGCTGATAAAATAATGCATCCCAACCTCCAAAGGAACCATTGATCTCAGTATCTTGAAGCTGTAAGAGCTGAATCAGGACAAGGGCGTACCCTGGCACTGGCTGGGAAAGCTCTGCTTCTAGAGCCCGGCTCTGTACATCAAGGCAGAGGGGGCCTGGGAATGGCCAAGCTCACGAACAACACCCTCCTTAGCAACATCCAATTTACTTGTCCTCATCCACATTTACCAGAGGTGAGGTTAGAAGGGACACTTCAGAGTCGTCTTGAGAATATTTTTCTGGTTATAAAAGTAATTGTGTTGTTATATTGAATTTGGGGGAGAAGCCAAACATCCATAAGCACGCCATCCATATGTTTCCTTCCAGCTTTCTGGGTTTTTTTATGATGTATATACAAACACACACGTTTTAAAAATAAAATTAAGGTCACAATTGAAAATCCTCTTTTTCTCCATTCAACATACACCCCAAATACCTTCCCATCACTAAATGCAAAAGCATGAATTTAATCAGCTATCTGTACTCAGGGCCTGGTGCACTGTAACCCATTTAAATGTGCTCCTATTGTTGGGGATTTAGGGTGTTTCCGAGTTCTCACTATAACAGAAGCGAACAGTAAACATCCCGGTACATAAATCTTTGTTCTGCTTCTGGTTACTTCACATCTGTAGGTTCCTAGAAGTGGGATTACTGGAACAGGGGGAGTTCAACATTTTTAAGACATTAAGGGTACACCGCCTAACTGTATTCCAAAAAGTTTATTTCAAAGTACAATATCCCAGCTACGGTACCCAGTGCTTAGTTTCCAAACTACAGTGACCGCAGTACCAGCGACGATATCCACAGCTCAGTTTTAACCCTATGCCTTGTTTTCTTTAGGGAAACACAGTATTGGCCAATTCTCTTTTCCTGGCTCCCTACTTACCTCCTACCGCCTGGCAAAAATAAAAGAGCAGCAAGGAAGACGGGCATTGGGGAGGGGACAGCCTAAGGGCTGTGACAGTGTTTCTGATCCATTTCATCAACAGGTATCTTCTTCGAGGGGACTGTGGTTGCCTCTAAAGGTGAGTTTGAGTCTTAAGGCCTCAAGTCAGGGCACCAATTCCTCCATCCTCTCTGGCTCCAACACCACCTCTACCGTACTTTCAACCACGCCCAAGGGGTGACCACTCACAGCCTCCTGTTTACTTGTCTAAAGGTGGCCATGCCTAGTTATTTGATCGCCCAGGAAAAAAAAAAAAAAGGCCAAACTCCAAAGTTAGAAGTGGAGAGTCCTCTAGCATTTCAACTTGTTCTGCACTGACTGTACCACCAGCTTGTCTCTCTACTTGCAAAACGTCTCAATGACATTCGTGGCAGACACGAAGTCTACCCGTCTGACTCCCTCTTCACTCTCTCTCGCTCAAGAATTCAAGAGGCAGTATTCTACTCTACACCTTCATCTCTTTCTTCATCACCTCATTCCCTCAACTGTCACTTTCCCCACTCACTTCCCACCCCCCACACCCACCAACACCCTAATCAGGTGCCGGGACGCTCTCGGCCACCGCTGTCATTGTTCTCATCGCCTTCAATAATTTTACGGTAAGGAGCACAGAGAAAGCTCTTTAAAAGTAACATGTTAGATATGACTTGAAACATGTATGTAGCTTCTTGTCACTCAAAACGTCAACCTCATGACATCGGGAAAGTCCTCTGCATTCTAAGCTTATGGGGCGAGGACAGCCTCTTCTATCTAGAAGGTATTTCTTTGGCTCCTACAAAAACCTAACATCTGTAAGCTCAAAAAGAACAGATGAAATGAGAAGCTCATCTTTCCTTTGATCGCATTAGGTTTGTGAGTATCAAATGCTCTTACACAGACAGCAACAGATTGCTAAGGATGCTGGAAAAGAAATTATTCATGAAACTGACAGAGCAACTGGTTAACTCTCAAAAATGTTTAATCAAAACTGGACCGGCTTTTATCACGCAGAACTCTAAAGCAAGGTATTTTGTTGAACTAAATTGGCCTTGCCCCTGAGATAAAAATGCTTAGAACCAGAAAGGACGACACAGCCTTGTTGTCTCATAAGCATGGTGCTACGAGGTATGCACACAGGACATGGGACATACGGAGCCTTTTTTTGCTTGACTCGTGTTCTTTCTTTCTCATTAAAGCTGAATAATAAACCGATAAAGGGGAGTATAAGCCAAAACAGAAACAAACAACAAACCAACCCATGACTCCATGGCCTTCCTAGAGAGAGACAGGCTCATGAAACACAATCCTCCTCTGCTTGTTCAGAGCAAGAAAATCAAAATATCACAACCCTACGACAGATCCCATTTTGTATGACAAGCAAGGTCAACGTGAGCAGAGCCCATGGAGAGGGACCATAGGTTACCTATCCAAAGAGCTTCCCTGGTAGCTCAGACGGTAAAGCGTCTGCCTGCAATGTGGGAGACCTGGGTTCGATCCCCAGATCATGAAGATCCCCTGGAGAAGGAAATGGCAACCCACTCCAGTACTCTTGCCTGGAAAATTCCATGGATGGAGGAGTCTGGTAGGCTACAGTCCATGGGATCGCAAACAGTCGGAGATGACTGAGCAACTTCACTGGTTCAAAATGTGGACAACAAGTTCCATTTGCTTGCTGTCCTGCATAGCCTGACCTGGGAGCCAATGAAAAAAAATGAAAAGATTCGACCCTGGGAAGAGACCCTTGGTTCAGTGGTTCTCTGCCTTTGCTCTGGCCCACATACCCAAGGGACAGGGATCCAGGACACCCTGGTCAATGTCAGAGGGCTAATCAGGGGCGGGGGGAGCGATTCTCAAAAAGAGAGAGGCAAGGAGAGGAAGGGGCTTCAGTCTCAAACCTGAAGGTCTGTGTGGTTTCTAAAAGCCCCCTCCTCTCCATGATTCTGATACATATAAGCCCCACCCCTCAAAGATGATAGAATCATGCAGCCCCATTTTACAGATGTGAAAACTAAGGTCCAGAAAGGAGAAGTGAGTGGGGAGTTAACAAAAGAGCTGAAAAGTCAACTCCAGGCCTCTGGGCTCTTTGAGTTCATGCCCCTTCCACTCTCCAGGGCCTTAAACATAGCTGGCTGTCAACAGATATTTAATAAACAAATGAAATAAGGACCCAATGTTTGCATTCATTTAACAAAATAATCCCCTGGGTTACTGCAATGGTTCATATCCTGGGGTCCCTGGACCCCCAGCAGAACTCAAAGTTACTGATGGGAGCAGGGGAAGATGGCAGCTAGTTTCAGAACCTCAGAAGGTCCAACAGGACTAACAGTTTACCTAGGCCCAGGCTGCCTACAACATTGACTTTCTCTGCTTTGGGCTGGAATTGGATCATCTAGATTTAATGATGTTGGTTCTCAGGTCAACCATGATTCCATGTTTCCATTCCAGAAACATGCAGTATGTTTCTGAGGAATGAAGACAGGCCCATGAAGTCTTCCTAACTAAACATAATCTGTTTCAGAGGCTGTTTGTCAAAAGATGAAGCTGGTAAGATAAGAAATCATTTTAAAAGCATCTTTGGAGGAAAGACTGCTGGTGACTATGGGTCTTCTGGAGGGGTCACCACCCAGCCTCAGCTACCTGCAGGCTTGATTTCCTGCCTGTATATTGCCTTTGGTATCTCATATAAAATATTGGCTTTGGGTTTAAATCTTGACCCTACAGATAACTTACCATTCTTTGCTGGAAAAAAAAAAATCAAGATTTAATCAAATCTCATCATTCCCTTTCTCACCAGCCACGCCCACTATGAGGGCTACTGCTTGACCCTGCCTTGGGCACAAATTATAGCCAAATATCGATCATATTCAGGCCAAAAGTAGGGCACAAATGGGGTGAACAGGGACAGAGGCCCTAACTTCCAACCCCTGTGCTCGAAGGAATATGTGTCCCATACAGACCAAAAAGAGAATTGGCTTTATTGCTAACAATAACAGACATTTCCCAACAATTTATGTTACTTATATATACTCCTTTATGTATTTTGTATCTATTATAAACATATACCATCTATTACATTTATTTTCACATACACTGTCATGTATCATTTTCACGTAGATAGTGTTAGGTACATAGTAAGCATCTAATAAATGCAAGTTAACTGACTCGCTTTGAGGATGTCATAGCAGGACTCTCCTGGTGGCGCAGAGGTTAGGACTCTGAGCTTCCACTGCAGACAGTTCAGTTTCCATCCCTGGTTGGGGAACTATGATCCCACATGCCCCGTGGTGCAGCGAAAAATAATAATAATAAAGATGCTATAACAAAAATTCAAATCAGTTAAGAGCATATCCTTAATAACAGATAAGGAAGAGTCTCCAGCAACGAGGAAGAAAATTCACACTAAAACACAAGGAGCTAGGAAAGGATTTTTCTTGATATAAGGAGGGAAAATACACTGGTCCAATCACTTTTATTTCCATATCATTTGGTCTCCATGGACACCATCTAACTTTTGACAGAAAGAAACTTACTAACAATATTAGATGTCTTGTTAAAGATTTTAATGCTCTACATAAAATAGTTATTCTGTGTTTAATTCCTTACCATTCCCTATATTCTCTCAGAACAAGTAAAATCACTTCTTGCTAAAAATTCTCTAAAAGTCAGAGTTTAATCCACAGTCATGATTCCCTGACTTTTAAAGTTAAGAATGCATGCGTGGTTAGTCGGTCAGTCCTATACAACTCTTTGCAACCCCATGGACTGTAGCCCCGCCAGGCTCCTCTGTCCAGGGGATTCTCCAGGCAAGAATACTGGAGTGGGAAGTTAAGAACAATCTGATAGACTTCTGAAGGTGAATGCCTTAGCATTTGTAGACTGCTGTAACTTAGGCAACCTTCTTTCATAACAGTATCTTATTTGTTCCCAAAAGCAACCCCATCAGATATTCAGTTACATTCGACTATCACCTTTCATAGAACTCACCCCTAAAGGTAATTAGTGTATTTATTTTTTGGCTAGGTATTTTCAGCTCACCAACTAGAATGCAAATTCCCCAAAAGGTAAAGAAACTCCCTTCCTGTTCTCAAACTCACAGAACCCAGCACTGTGTCTAGTACATAGTGAATGTTCTATGAATACTTATTAAATGAATAAAGCCCCTTCTCTGCTTTAAGTGTTTTTCTGGTATGAAGCACAGAACAGAACCATGTCCCAAATATCCCATTTAGAGTTCACTGGTCTGTTCACCATCAAAAGGAACATTTTGTGAAAATGCTCTAAAAACAACGAAGCTTATATGCCATGACACCAAGAACAGTGTCCTTGGAGACATGAGAAAATTGATGCACATCAAACTCCCCAATGTTAAATGTCCGAAGTTTTAAAGTTTCCACTACTAAGTTCAAACATCTTGAACTAGCTTTGGTATACTGAATATTTGCCTAATAAAGTATACGGGAAAACAGAGGAAGAGAGAGACTGGGTCATGGTTCACGGAGCTGTCAGGACTTCGGTTCACCATAATCGGTCTCCAATTTAGCCACACACCCTTACTTTGGATTATCATAACACTTTAACAGGTAAGTAAGTCTGAAGTGTGCAGAATTATCTCTAACTTTTGAAGGACAAAAGAAAAAAAAAACCCAACTCATTGAGAATGAAAAATGTAGATGTTTAATATTAAGAAGCAGTTACAAATCAGAACAGACAAGAGCTCGGATCCAGGAGGCCAAAATCTGACTTCTTACACAACAGGCTGTTATAAATTAGAACCATTCACTAATTCTGGACTTTGCACCATCGATCAATACATTTTTCGAGGTATTAAAAAATACCAGATGAAGTCCTCAATATTCCATCTACTGAAGTTTCCTTAGAAAACACAAGTTTTCCCAGAATTTTGTCCTTTCCCTCTCCGAAAAAGGAGCGATGGGGTGGGGTGAGAAAAGGAGAAAATCCTGAGTGCGGGTGCACGAAGGTAAATAGGGGTCACCTTCCAGGTCGTGGCAAGGAGCTTGCATCTGCCTAACGTCAAGACCATCAACCTTCCGTTCCAGGCTGTCACCAGGCCCCTCTCAGTACCTGCCCTTAAGCACCAAAAAGCAAAGCGCACGCTGCTGAGTCCTCAAAGTTATCTGCAGTCGGTCTGAAAACTCAGAAACGAATGCAGGCTTGACAGCAACCTTGGTGATTCCTGAAAATCCACAACAGGAAATGTAACTCTCCTCCACCCTCCCTCGCCATTCATCAAAAGCAGACCCAGTCACAGCGACCGGGAGGCCGGTGGCAGAGGGAAGATGCCAGCACTCTTCTGAACCGAGGACCGGGCGCCTTTACCGTTGCCCACACTGGAGGGAGGAGGCTGGAGAGGGAGGGAGCGGGGAAAATGTGCCCAAGTTCCAAGTTTGCCTTTAGGGGCAAAGACGACCGAAAACCACGCCGCCAGTACGTGGCCACCTCCACTGCCAGTGCCAAGGGTCACACTTAGAGGGGTCCCGCCGACACCGGCTGACGTCGGCGCCTCGCCAGGTGCCCGGAAGGCTGTTTCTGCGCCCGGTTCGGGCTGCCAGCCTCTTTCCCGCTTCTTCCCCTCTAAAGGGGTAAGGGGGTGAGGGCGGCCCACGCAGCCACACCTGGGGCCCAAACTGAGATGCCGGTGCGTCCTCGGGGTTGCGGGGGGGGGTGGGGGGGTGGGGATCGGTGTGAGCTGCGTCCTGAAACCCTTCCAACTTGCAAAAGGCTGCCCGAGCCCTCTCAGGGCCGGCTCCCTGGCACCGCGAACGGCCGGGCGCCACGATGGGCCGCGGCGGGCATCGCTTGGTGGGCGAGCCCGGCCCGCGAGGCGGAAAGGAAGTGGCGGCCGCGGCTTTGCACCAACCACGTTCGGCCGGCTGGCGAATGCCACTCTGCGCCCCGAGAGGGGTCGGAGGGCGTGGGGCGGGCACTCGCGTCCCCACCCCGCCGCCGCCACCCGCGCCCCGGGAGCCCCAGGGGACGCCGGCACCCCCCACCGCGGGCCTGCCAGCGGGACGCCGCTCGGTCCCCGGAGGCTCCCCGCCCCCACCTTGCCCGCTCCGTAGCCGAGGCGGGTCAGGCCGAGCGCGTGAGGCCGGCCCGGGGCGCCCGCGGGGACCCGGAGGCGCCCGGCGCTAGGCCGCGGCCCGGACCGCTGACCCCTCCCGGGACTCTCCGCCCGAGCCCGCCCCCCACCCCAGCCCCGCGCGAGGACAAGTGCAGCGACAAAGCCCCAGGGCCAGGCCGGACGCTGGCCGGCGGGAAGGAGGACGCCGCGTCCCTCCCGGGCGGTGGCGACAGCGGCCCAGCCCCCAGGAAGCCGGGCGCGCCGGCCAGGCCCCGCGAGCAACCCCGATCGGAGCCCGCCCGCCCGGCCCCCGACCGCTGGCACCCGATGCCCGCGACCCTTCCCCGAGCCCCGAGGGTGGGCGAGCCCCGGGGACCGCCACCGGGCGCCCCATGAAGTTTCCTTCGGCCGCGGCGGGAGGCGCCTCTCTCGGCCGGGGCGCGGGGCGCAGGCTGCGGGCGGACGGCGGGTTCCTGCCTATTTACGCCAGAGGCTGCCTGGAGAGAGGCGCCGCCGCCGGGCGCCGAGAACTACCCGCTCCCCTCCTTCGGATCTGGTGGCGCCGGCATCTGTAAACACACACACACACACACACACACACACGCACATACATGCACGCGATCATGTTGTTTTTAAAAGGAGGCCCGACTCCAGCGGACCTGCTCCCCCACAAACAACACCTGGGGCGCAGGATCGCACAGAGCAGGTCTGTGTCCATGGAGCCAGCTCTCCGCATCTGCAAATCCAAAAGTGAAATTAAACCTCCACCAACCTCCTCCTCCTCCTCCTCCTCCTCCTTGCAGCCTCAGCAGCAGCAGCAGCAGCAGCAGCAGCAGCAGCAGCAGCAACCGAACCTGCTTCCCCTAAAACCAGATGATCCATAACAGCGCCGACTGTTCCTCCAAAAATCAGTATTAATATTTATGAACCTCAGCATTTTCCGTCTGCAAAACATCGTGTCAAACCATCAGGACGCGCGCGCGCGCACACACACACACACACACACACACACAGAGACACACACACACACACACATCCCCTCCAGTCCTCCTAAACATGCCCTCGAGAAAAACACACACGCACAGTCCCAACTATTATTTGAAAAAAATGTTACCTCTCAGAGTGCTTTTTTCACGCTACCAATACAATTCCGCAAGGCTTAAGTGTTGCTAGGGTGTGTGAAATGGAAATGAAAGCCCGTCAGTTGAATAATCGCAGGAGCAAAACTAAAAGTTACTCCCCGGCTTGCCTGAGAACAGTCCAGATCGAAAGCAAAACAAGGAGAGGAAACTGCGAAGCGCCGCGGCTGGAAATCCCCCCGCCCCCCGCCCTCCCGGAGCCGGGCTCGCTCCCGCCCGCCCTCCGCGCTCCCCCCGCCCCCCCGCTCCGCCCTCCTCCCTCCGCCCTCCGCCCTCCTCCCTTCCTCCCCAGTGTTTGTTTCAAGCTTGTGCAACCCGGAGGTGCAGGCGGGGGGAGGCCGCGAGCAGCCGGGCCGGGAGGTGCGGAAGTTCGCCGCCGCCGCCGTTCATTGGCGGGCAGCGCCGCTTTCATCATTTCTCAGAAAAGTCAATTTCATTTTCACTTCCCCACGTCGCGGCCGCGGGAGCAACAAGCGGCTGCTCGTGAGTGTGCTGCCCGCGCACCCGAGCGTTCACACCACTCGAGCCGGGGGTCCGGGGGCGGTGTGGGGGGGGGGGGGGGCGGGGGCCCGGGGGCGCCAGCTTGGGCTCCGGGCGTCAGCTGGTTGGCGGCAGGAGGGGCAAGCCGGTACCCTACCGACTCCCCATCCTAAAGGGCGACCCGAAGGTCGGGAAGGAGGGAGGAGGCTGGCGGCTCCTGGAAACAACGCTCTAGCCATCCGGTCGGTGGGGTAGGTGTTTACAGCCTCTGTTTTCCGAGTGAGTAAAACTTCACTTTGCAGCACTGCCCACTTCCAAGGAACACAAGAAGCAATGAACTGACAAGACAGCATTACTTAGATACTAGGGCGCTACCTGGGCCCAGCGGCGCGTCCTTAACTTTATTTGAACCCTTATCAGTTGCTGAGGGTGTAACCATTTCGGGGGCTGCTGTCATCTGGGACCCTGCCCGGGGGCGATAAGGAAGGCCCTCCGCCCCCCGCCCCCCCAGCCTGAGTGTGCCACAGAAGTTCCCTGCCTGCAGCTAAGATGGGCAGGGGTAAGAGCAGATTTTCCTGAAAGATGTCTTACCGTGGCTGGACCGAGAGACAGGTTTATACTGGAGTACTTCCAGCCAGGTTCTGATTTGGCCTCTTTAACTTACTACCTGGCATTTCCCAGTCAAGTTGCTTAACCTAAGGCCTCAGTCTTCAATGCCCTGAAATGGGGATGATTTAGAAAATGCAAGAATACAGGAGCTGCACCAGTTCCCTTCAAAGGGTGTTAGCTCAGACTAACACAGTTCACTTGGGACCTGTCACTTCGGGGTCCCTTGCTTTAAATATAGATTCTCGTTTGGTTCTATCTGTTCCTTCCCCCACATGCAGTTTCATTGGCCTTCTCCCAAATATCTCTCCCCTCACACAGGAAGTCCCTTCTTGGGGGGCCATAGCTACATTTATGTAAATACTTACCTAAAAACAGCTCCAGCAGTCCTCTTTCACAGAAGTATTCAGTGCAAGTAAAAGTATCTAAGTATGCTTTTTTTTTTTTCCATTTATTTCTACCAGTTGGAGGCCAATCACTTTACAACATTGTAGTGGGTTCTGTCATACATTGACATGAATCAGCCATGGATTTACATGTATTCCCCATCCTGATCCCCCCTCCCACCTCCCTCTCTACCCGATCCCATGTGTGGCCAGGAGAGAAGGGTTTAGGATTCTGCTTTGTGGCTGTGGTCCCAGAAACAGATCTCCCATACTCTCTGTTACTTTTTATCCTCTCTCATAGAATACTATTTGCTACAGTCACTGACTTTCTTATTTCATAAAGCAATGACCGTGATAGATGGTTAGAGTAACTATATACAAACTCTGTAGAATTTTCGTCACTCTTTACCCATCCGGTGGACCCAAGTAAAACCCCATGGTCCTTAATGTTTTCCTTCCTCCCAACACACCACCCATCATATGGACCTGTTGATGCTGATCCCAAGTATCTCTGGCCCCAGCCCCTCCTCCACCCCTCTGCATCCCCTTCACTCAGTTATGGCAGTGGCCTGGGGACTAGGCTTTCCGCTCAAACTCCTCTGGGTTAACAATCAGGTTAAGCAGAAAATCAACTTCAGGCGAAGCACAATTCCAGACCTAACCACCCCCCCCTTTCAAAAATTTCTCCACAGCCCTCTGGATACAGTCCGTATTATTTTCAAGACATAAAAAGCCCATTATAATCTGACATTAGACCGCTTTTCCAGCCTCATCTCTTGCTACTGTGCCCCACACCCCTCCCTTGTCAAACCAGCTTCCATTCCTTTTGGTAAAACAACAGAGTCATCCTCTTGTTCCGTATTTTATCTTCAGCGTAGTGCCCAGCACAGAGGCACTCAACTACTTAGGAGCTAATAGTCGTTTGCCCTTGGCTCAAAATTGCCCTTGGTTCAGAAAATATTGTAGACTTTATCAGAGTATTTTTAACAGAAATGTAATCGATATTTGTTGTGCAGAATACAGAAAAGTTGAAGGAAGGCTATGACACCTGCAATTTTACCAATAAGGAATAGACCTGAAGATATTTTCATGTAGGTCCTTTTAGTAATTTTTGTAAAGAACGTTTCTGCTCAGCATCTCTGTATAGTTTAATAATCGCCATAATACGGCCTGGTGCCCATGTGACATCCTTCTGTCCTGTTTTATTTCTTTGCTGATTCCTCCTATGCTGCCAGCCCCCTAAATTATGGTGTGTTGAGACAGTCTAGCCTCGCCCCTCCTGTTCTCTCATCCTACATGCTTTCTCTTAGAGTGCTCTCGCCTACACCCAGAGCTTTAGAAATCACTATTTGGCGATAACTCCAAAATCTATACCTCCTGAGCTCTGGGTGCATTTACCTTCAAGATATTCCTTGGGTGCAACAAATTATTTATGTCCAAACTAAACCCATACCATTTTCCCCAACCACCTTGTATTTGTTACTTCATTAACCAGCCAGGAAACTGGGAAGCATCACCAACTCCCATCTTTCCTGAGTCCACGAATCTTCCTGGGGCATGGGTATCATTTCTAATTTCCAGGCCCCTAAACCCACAAAGCATAGAATGGATTTCACTCTGTTTTTATGCTCTTGAAGACATGTGATTGCAGACCCGAGATGTAAATATGACCCCCAAATCCACATGGTATTCGTATACAGGGTCAAAAAATATTTTTAGCCTTTTGATGAGATGCATAGAGTCATAAACCTCTGTGGAAAATGAATCAATATAGCACAATATAACCATTTTGAAAATCTCTGGGAAAAGTAGCTTTTGCCACGCCAAAGAAATCTGACCAAAGATCTGATATAAAGCAATAAATGTTGTTTGAGCAGTCTAACATAATGAAACTAGAGTGAGGTGTGTTTATGTCTCACCTGTGGATTGGAACATCCTAAGATCATCTGTCTGGATGCACCAGGACTCATTTCAAGGGAGTCGAAAAAGGACAATGATGACTTGTCCATACAGCAGTCGATCTTTCCATGAATGAAACTTAAAGATACAGTCAAGGTTAACCTTTCTCAAATGGGTTAATTTACTTGTTCTAATAAATGAGACTAATTTGATAAAATAATCGTTTAAGTAACGAATATTTATTGAGTGCCCAAAAACTCTTCTTGTGAATGTAACAAATGAAAATCTCTGCCATCCAAGAAGTTTTATTACAGTCCAGTAAATTGGACTGTTAATTTCCATTGTATCATCCTAGTAATGGCACGGACATCACCTCCAGCTATTATCACAGTCTTTAGAACTGTGCGTTAAAGTTACAACTATAGGCTATGATGGCATGCTAACTAAAGGGCTAAGTATTTAGAGCTGTGATAAAATCAGTTCCCCGTCCCCCCACCCCCACCCCGCCCCTGTAACTCTGTCAGTTGATGCCCTAATTTTTCCCACAGTATCATGGGTACTACTGTCCTGGCCCCCAAGACTCTTTTGCATGCTGCGAGAATTCAGCAGAGGTTATAATACTCATGGAAAATGAGTGTTCTGCACTTGCCAGAGCAGTTGCCCAATACAAAGCCATAGATTATAGTTCTGCGCTGCAAAGAATATCATTGTGAACTCCATGTTGAATAAACAATACACCCATGGTAGATCTGAGTTGAAACAGTAGAACTGCAAAGATGTTGAAAAGGCCATCTGAGTTCAAGGACCAGAGGCATTAAATTGGAGAAATTCTTGACTACTGTATTACCTCATGTAGTGGTTTTTTTCCATTTTACTAGAAACTCTGAAATGAGGTTCATTTGTTGCAATTATTCTCTGAAAATCATGAATTTCAATTGAGTAATATATTGCCCAAACCTTAGTAATAAATATTAATTTTGTCCTGTTCCTCTGGTGAAATAAGGGAAGAAATACTCTTTAAGTGTGCCAGGATATGTGTGTGTGTGTGTGTGTGTGTGTGGTGGGGGAGGTGGGTACAGGGAGGGAGATAGAGATGAGTTTCTCTTGTCCAAAAGCAAAGCTTTCAGCTTCAAAAACTTCATAATTTTTTTTTGCTATCATTTCTCAGTCTTATCCCAAATGGCTTTGAAATATTCATTATGTCTCTAAGATGATAAACTATAAAGTAGTGCTTTTAAAGTCAGAAGGGAAAAGTGACTATAGCCTTGCCTTGAGATTCTTTAGAAACAATTACTGTAATAGTTTCAAGAATGAAAAGTATTTCAGAGACTTCCCTGGTGGTCCAGTGGTTAAAACTTAGCTTCCCAGTGCAGGAAGTGCTGGTTCAATCCCTGGTTGAGGGGCTAAGATATCACATGCCTCCCAGGGCCAATAAAACCAAAATGTAAAAAAGAGGCAAAATTGTAACTAATTAAATAAGGACTTTAAAAATGGTCCACATTTTTTAAAATCTTTAAAATTTTTTTAAGTATTAAGAAAAGAAAGAGAAACAGAGATCTCAGATCCCAAGGAACCAGGGAAAAATAAAAAGCAATTATTTCAAACAAGAGCTGGAAATAAATTTCCATTTTGTAACATAAATTCAGCAAACCACAAAATTCACTGAATCTGAGTTTTTGAAGAATCTTCTGTTACAGCTTCCACCACTTTTCTGTACGCTCCTCTCTCACCAGCATGTGACTCTTGATGATATTCAGTCTGTTCTCTTTGTCCCCCCGAAATATAAGAACATATAAGGACATATAAGAATACACCTTATTCTATTTGAAAATGTTTGGAAATTTGCCAATCAGAAAGACACAAGAGTGTCATAAAACAAAGGACAAAGAGTACTTTTAAATAGTCTTATTACTTCCTCAAAAAGTTACATCTCCACTACATCCAAAAGGTGCACAACATTTCATACATACAGCTCTTGATGTTGCCTCCTTCGCCTTAGATGCACCTCCAAGACATATAGCTGTGTTCTGGGTAAGAATAAAAGGAAGCCCTGCTCTCCCAGAGCTTACATTCTAATGGGGATGATGTCAACACAACCAGACCAATCAGATAGTTACAGATTTGTATCCGTGTGCTGAGAGAAACAAGTCAGACCTTTGACAGAAAATACTGGGGGGCCTATTTGTTTCCTGGGGTACCACAAACCAGGTGGCTGAAATAACAGGAATGTATTGTCTCACAGTTCTGGAAGCTATATGTCCAGGATCAAGGTGTCCATGGGGTTGGTTCCTTCTGAGGGTTGAGAGGGAAGAATGTGTCTCCCTCCTATCTTCTGGTGGTTGGCCAGCAATCCTGGGCATTCTTTGGCTTGTGGAAGCATCACTTCATCTCTGCCTGCATCTTCACGTGTTCTCCCTGGATGTGTATCTGTATCCAAATTTCCCCTTTTTTATAGAGACAGTAGTTTACTGGATTCACTTCAGTTCAGTTCAGTTGCTCAGTCGTGTCCGACTCTTTGCGACCCCATGGACTGCAGCAGGCCAGGCCTCCCTGTCCAACACCAACTCACTGGGTTAGGGACCCCCGTACTCCAATATGGGCTTCCCTGGTGGCTCCGTGGTAAAGAATCCACCTGCCAATGCAGGAGATGTGGGTTTGATCCCTGGGTCGGAAAAATCCCCTGGACAAGGAAATGGCAGCTCACTCCGGTATTCTTGCCTGGGAAATGCCATGGACAGAGGAGCCTGGCAGGCTGCAGTCCACGGGGTCATGAAGAGTCGGACATGTCTTGGCAACTAAATAACAACAACAACAATACTCCAATATGATCTCATCTTAATTCACTGCATCTGCAAAGACACTCTGAGGTCCTGGGGGTTAGCATTGCAACATGTGAATTTTGAGGGGCACTCACTTCAACACATAACAGATACCAACTGTGTGATGAAGCGCTGATGTAGGGGAGAGAGTGGAGGCAAAGGCCTTGAGAAGCAAAAGGGCCTGGCATGTTCTGGAAACCAAAGGAAGGTAAATGTGACTTAAAAGTTCTGAATGAGGGTGAGGACACAGGCAGACGCCAGAACAAGGAGTATGAATTTTATTGTGAGATCAGTGGGAAGATTTTGAAGGGTTCTGTGGTTTTAAAATGTCACACTATAAATTTCCCACATCAATGAAATGCAAGGATTTCTTAATTTGTGGATTTCTTAGAATTTGCAACAGTTCTTTTGCTGACCTCTCAGTTCATTACACGATGAATTTGTTGAGGAAACAACACATTAAGGATATTTGGAAACAGTTTGATCTCATTTTTCATTTCTTTTTTGTATTCCTAAAGTATTTCTTTCCCTTTAACATTTTCTCTGATTTTCATCTCTACAAGTGAAGCAAATATTTACTTTAAGCTCTTCATCACACCCCCATAAAAACTTTCCTTAAAAAAAAGAATGTACATTCAACTGTGGATTCCTGGCACACACTATTTTCCTCAGACTGTTTTGAGTGAACAATGATAATTCTCAGAGTTTATGTCACCACAAAATCAATATTCATCCCCAAATTTAATGGTTTTGAATATTTCTTTTTTGACTTTGAAAAATTTTCAGAATTTTTTTTCATCAGAAACCCCTTGTGTATAATGAATAGTTTCCACAAAACTGAATTTTTGTTGGCAGAAGTTTTAGGTAAAACTTCTCGATTTGCCTTGGATGTTGTGTAATTTGAAAGCAAATATTGGTTTAAATAGCCCATCACATATTTTCTCAGTATCCAACTGTGGATACTGGATTTCAACTCCTGACAACCAAGAAAAAAGTCACTTTCTTTCCCGTTTTACATGTTGAAGTTTTGAGTAAGATTTCATTTGGGGAAAAGCTTCTGTTGCTTTTCTTTTTTAAAAAAAAGGGAAAAAAGACCAAAGTCTCAAATACTGGCTGTTAGTTCAACTTCATTTTCCTATAATTGGAGATAAGAAAGAAGACATGGCAAAGTGTGAGTGAAGATCCTTAAGACTGAAGGAGAGGCAGAAATATGCAGACCAAGGAGCAGAAACTGGAGGGAGGGTAGATGGGCACGTTCCTGCTGGGTAGCCAGGCAGAGCCAGCCTCATAGGAGGGACCAATTTTTAGGTTCATCCTCACTTGACTTGCTCAGATTGTCTCCATATTTTCCTTGTTTTTAGTTCCTATCTTGACAAGAACATTTCATCTTTTCAGGGGTGTAAAACCAACAGAATCATGACCACTTGTTTCACAGTGTGTATGGTTGATGTCACGTTTGGGTTTTTTTTAATGTTTCATTTTTATCTTTTGGACGTACTGTACAGCATATGGGATCTTAGTTTCCCTACCAGGGATTGAACCCTTATCCCCTACAGTGGAAGTGCGGAGTCTTAATCACTGGCTGGCTGGCTGGTGTGCACGCTCAGTCATGTCCAACTCTTCGCAACTGTAGCCCTCCAGGCTCCTCTGTCCATGGAATTTTCCAGGCAAGAATACTGGAGTGGGTTTCCGTTTCCTTCTCCAGGGGATCTTCCTGACCCAGGGATCAAACCAGTGTCTCCTGTGTCTCCTGTATTGACAGGTGGATTCTTTACCACTGAGGCACCTGGGAAGCCCCCTTAACCATGCCCCTGTCATATTTTATGACACTTTTGACCAAGCCTTTTCCCCCATTGAGAAATTAGAGGAACACTACCCTAATCGTCTCATCTTCCACAATGCTTACAAATATTTACCACATACGCACTCTTAATGGTATTTTTGCTTATGATGAACTTAAACATAATAGTAGGAAATTTATGCTCCATTGAGGATAAAAGGAAAGCAAAGTTTTATATTTACAATAAGGTCACCCCAAAGATGTTCCTATATATAAGGCAAAAAGGAACTATATCAAAACATTAATAGTGGTTATCTTTGAGTAACAGAACTGACTGATTTTTTTTGTTGAAAAATTAACATTTTTGTGAATAAATTTTCCTTTTATTAATGTAAAAATGTTAATATATTTTATAGATGATTTCAGAAAATTATTTCTTGATATGCTTATGATTTTTATGCAAATGACTTGTTTTAGCTAGTTTCTTCCACTGGACTTCAAAAAGGAAAGCACTGGTTTATACATCTTATATCTTACACTGCATCCTTATAAGAATTTTTAAATCTGTCTAGATAATTTTTTCCTACAAATGCTATATAGTTTCTTCTAGTCTTTAATTTTATCAAAATATTCATTTTAAATGACTCTCCAAAGAAACATATAAAGCCAAACATAAATTACTGTGTGTCCAAATCAATGGCTATTAATAAGTGATATATCCCATGATCATGATTAATATTTGAATAAGCTTTTGCTTTGATTCACATCATGTTTTAAATATGCTGTTTGAAAAAGATTGACTTAAGAGAAATCTATGACAACTAAATCTTTTCTACTTGTGAGGTTTCATTTCATTTGGATGTAAGAATATTACTAGATGCTTAGATGCTCAGCAATCAAATTCAAATTCTTAGATCTCAAATATGAATGAGGATTCTAAGAAAAATACCATAATTTTTATGTTACATTTTTTTTCTTTCTTTGCCTTTCCTCTTTCTGGCACCTTCAGCTTTAGTCATCATAGTTCCTATTTTGCTTGCTTTATTTCCACATACAACAGGATTATCAGAAGGGAGAGAAAACAGCTCATCTGAAGGCAGTGATGGGAAGGATGTTTACCTTTCTCTTTCTCACACACACACACACACATACACATGCATAGAGGAGAGGTGGGTTCTCTGCATTGTGGAAATTCACTTCAGAATACTTTTCCCTTAGAAGAAAGAAGAAACTATGATGCTATATGTATATAGTTTTCATTCATGATGGGTTAAAATAAGAGTTCATGGGCTGGCCCAGGAACACACCATTTTATAACATTGTTCACATGGGAAACTGTCATTCTGGAATCTAGACAGCTGTTGTCAAAAGATTCTACGAGGGCTCAGTGGGTTCTGTCGGCCTGGGACTGCTGGCCTTCTGCAGGGGCGTCCTTAACAGTCTGGAGTAAGCAGGAAAGAAAGAAACCTGGTCTCGATCTTGAGGCATTTGCAGTTGGGAGATGGGACCCACAATGGAAAGATGATTATTTCAAGACAAATTATATGTGGCCCCATTCCCAGGTAACATTTTAATACATTTTTTGAATTTGTTCATTCAGTGTCTGTTTCTTGACTTGATAGTACTTATCTATTTTTTATATTCTAAATGATATTTTCTAATATAAATAATACATATATGTATATATGTAAACACACACATACATATATGTATTATTATTATATTAAATATGTATACATGCATATATGTATGTATTATTTTTACATTATACATATATGTGTTATGTATATAAATACATATGTTGTATTATATCTATTATTGTATCTATATTATATATCTAGTTATATCTAATATATTACATCTAGTATAATAATACATATATGACAGTAGGAATGCTCAAACTACCTCACAACTGCACTCATCTCACACGTTAGCAAAGTAATGCTCATAATTCTTCAAGCCAGGCTTCAACAGTACATGAACCGTGAACTTCCAGATGTTCAAGCTGGATTTAGAAAAGCCAGAGGAACTAGAGATCAAATTGCCAACATCCGTTGGATCATTGAAAAAGCAAGAGAGTTCCAGAAAGACATCTGCTTTATTGACTATGCCAAAGCCTTTGACTATGTGGATCACAACAAACTGTGGAAAATTCTGAAAGAGATGGGAATACCAGACCATCTGATCTGCCTTCTGGGAAGTCTGCATGCAGGTCAGGAAGCAACAATTAGAACTGGACATGGGAGAATGGACTGGTTCCAAATAGGGAAAGGCTGTATGTTGTCACCCTGCTTATTTAACTTATATGCAAAGTACATCATGAGAAATGTTGGATTGGATGAAGCACAAGCTGGAATCAAGATTGCTGGGAGAAATATCAATAACCTCAGATATGCAGATGACACCACCCTCATGGCAGAAAGTGAAGAACTAAAGAGCCTCTTGATGAAAGTGAAAGGAGAGTGAAAAACCTGGCTTAAACTCAACATTCAGAAAACTAAGACCATGGCATCTTGTCCCATCACTTCATGGCAAATTGGTGGGGAAACTGGAAACAGTGACAGACTTTATTTTCTTGGACTCCAAAATCACTGCAGATGGTGACTGCAGCCGTGAAATTAAAAGACACTTGCTCCTTGGAAGAAAAGTTATGACCAACCTAGACAGCATATTAAAAAGCAGAGACATTACTTTACCAACAAAGGTCCGTCTAGTCAAAGCTATGGTTTTTCCAGTAGTCATGCGTGGATGTGATAGTTGGACTATAAAGAAAGCTGAGCACCAAAAAATTGATGCTTTTGAACTGTGGTGTTGGAGAAGACTCTTGAGGGTCCTTTGGACTGCAAGGAGATCAAACCAGTTCATCCTAAAGGAAATCAGTTCTGCATATTCATTGGAAGGACTGATGCTGAAGCTGAAACTCCAATACTTTGGCCACCTGATGCAAAGAACTGACTCATTTGAAAAGACCCTAATGC